GATGCGCCTAGAGTCTAGGTTTATCAGGCTTTCTTGTTCTTACGGGGATCACCTTTCTATTCGGAAAGCCAAGCTACGCAAATCAGACCCCCTTTGGGAAGACGCATACGATATTCTACAACACACATGTCAAATCCTCTTTCCTCAATTCAGCGAATGAAGTAAACGATATGCAGAGGACTAAAGAGCACCAGTCGGGTCAGGTGTTGACTCGTTGCATATTCAGCCGTCTGGGTATGGCGGCTCCCAGTATGCAACAGAATGCAAACAGAATGCAAACAGACCCACGATGGCATCATAGCATGAAATACTGCTCCCCCAGGCGGTCAACACAAATGTCACTTGAGGATGCAACACCCCAGAAAACATCCCTCTTTAGAACGAACCCTTTCCCAGTTCTACCAATGTCTCAGATTGCTACTTAGATGTTGGGGAACGCTTGGATCACGAGGTCCTTCTTACTGTAAGGCCCGGGGAGCGTTAGGCTGATCATCTAGTTTCCCCTCGGTTCCCCTCAATCCCCCTCCCCCAAGAGTCCATGATTGCACGCACGCACGTGGAAAGTGAATATATACTGGGGTATTGCTAAAGCTCGACTTACCACTTTTATTTAATCTCATCGACATCTCGTAGCACAGACGTGTCTATTTAAGCTTAGGCCATGATATTTAAGAAACCCACCTTTAGGGCTCATTCTAGCAAACGTTATTATTTATAGTAAGTTCGAGCTATGCTACACTCATCGAATAACTTCGGCGTTACACCGCTGAGCGCAGTTGCTCAGTCCTAGCATTGTTCGAGACTTGATAACTCTTTCAATGGAACCTTACTTCGCCGGAGTATCTAGAAGCTCCGATATAGCTCATCGCTCACTTACACACACTTCCAAATTATACCATCCACCATCCCAAACTGGAAGTTTGGAAAAGCTACTTGAGATTATCTTGGGAAAGTCTATCCTCCAGTATTGACTGGTCGGACGGCAAACATAAGTCTAAATTAAGAACGGGCTGAGCACCACCATCGGCCACTGACGTCGACGCGTCGGATATCGCGGCCTGGGAAGTATGAAGAAATGTGGCTGAAACGTTGAGATCCCCTGCCAGACTATCTCGCCATGCGCGCTGCCGCCTCAATAACACCCCGAATCCGAAGGACGCGGATATTGAAACTCAAATGCCATCACGATATCTACTTGGGTTTCACTTCCATAGCGAGCGATAGAGTATGACCGGTATGGGACCCTTAAAGACATGGTGGTTGCGGTACTCTAAGTGGCTTACGAACCCAGCGAGGGCAATCCAAGACAGAGCAATGCTTCGCAACTATCATTAGGTGGGTTGTACTCAATTTTATAGGTATTGTACGATGCATTCTTATGGGGGTTGCCATGTCTCAGGGCAGCTTTCATCAGATATAATATACAATATCGTCAAATCACTGTCAAGCCAGTAGAATTGACGATACGGTACCAGTGGTTGATGCGCTTGATCCACATGTAAGGCGTCTATGTATGTGCGTTTCTGGCAACTGGACCGTGAGCGAATTCATCCAAGATTGCATGAAGAACCAAGGGTCGGCGGGTAGTGGTAGGTAACATTGGCCTAATGAGGGACGCAGCGTAAAATAAAGGTATCATAAGCAACCATATTGAGGTACCTAGGTACTCAGCAGCCCTTTCGTCATGCCTGTAGGTACGGATCTGTACGGATCCGTACATACATAACCAAGTTCACGACATACAATATCCTATGCGAAGGCTTGGCCGAGTTAACCAGAGAACGAGTATCAATGATCCTCGAGAAACGCTACGAATACGTTTCTAACAATCACAGCGGAACGTGTTAATGAAGATGTGGCGATGGGACGTGAGGTACAGACTAGGGACAGCACAGCAAATGAGATAAAGGATGTCGTCTGTAAGTGGGCGGACAACAAACCTTCTTATCGCGAGAGGCTACAATACAGTTCATCACGCATGAAGATGATCCAATCCAAATTACTTACAGGCTGATGGATCCCTTAGACTACCTAGCTCCCACACGTAACTTTCTAAGCCATTCCATGAAGGATGTACAGCCTTTTTTTTTTTTTTTTTTTTTTTTTTTTTATGCAAGACATCGCGCTGATCTGGTCCTCCGGTTGGCGAACACATTTTTTTTCTCGTCTGCTATGTTACGGTAAGGCACGGTAAGGCACGTCAGGGAGGCTATTGGGTTCACTCCAAACTTATACAAAACTAAGGTACATAGGCAGTAGCCTTCGAACTTAACGATATTATGGCGCTCGCACCTCATATTGTGATGGGATTGAACTGAGGGTGAGTTTTGGCGCGGACTAGTTGCAAAAGTGTGAAATTGAAATTCGGCCGTCCCCCCCTGCAAAACCCAGACAACTCAGATTTCCTATCCCTGCTCATAATGTATGCCGAATCGCGTTGTTCCTGCCTCTTTTCTCAGGAACAATAAGACCTCCAATGACCAGAATAGGTTTGGGACAATTTAAAGGAGACCCGCTGTTCCCAATTTCTACCAACCAGAATCGATTCTTACCTTCCTCGCCTGCTCACTTACGATATATTACTTACCAAGTCTACTACGCCATTACCTACACAGGGTAGCTTCGTCTCTCTCGTTGTAGAAGGCGCCAGGGGATCCCCAAGGTTGGCCTAGCAAGATCAATCACACTAACGTGCAACTTGACCCCGGACCTCGCAAGCTGCATGCCCTCATTTCCTCTCTCTTCCATCTAGGTAATCATCTAATCCCTCTCCCCGTGGAGGATTACACACAAAAAAAAAACACATCAACTCACTTTCTTGGAAAACAAGTATTATCACGATTAGGTCCGAGATACCATAATTGGAGAGGAAGGGAGTTTGTGGGGGAACAATCGGACTACATCATAACCGTCCCAGCCTTGATCCAGCCTTGGTCTCATTTCCAGCCCCAGACCGAATCGAATTTGAGAGCAAACGCCGCGAGTCAGGTTGCGTTCACCTATCTGGCACAAAGATCCACAGCAATCTCTGCCCATAATATTTCAATTCAGAATACGGCGTCGGCTAAGCTTATCACGGACCCAGACCTGTGCACGTTCGGATATCATTATATCGACAAGCTAAGAAAGTAAAGCACTATTCATCCCAAGTCCCGTACTCCGACGAACTATCTCTACCTCGTTCAATCATCTATCTTTGCGCGGTTCCCTCGCGCCGCAACGCAAATGGGGTCGACAAATTTTGGTAATTTCGACGTATGTCTTCCTCAGGCCAGATTATGGACAATACTCTCCCATTATGCTCACGAGCGATGCTAACATCACTATGCTATTCAGGCGTTTTGCCGCGATTCGACTTTACCGGTCTGCAATGTACGTCCGCCTAGTGACACGGCTATGCAATATCCCGCCAAACACCCGAGGTCGCTAACACACGAATTAGGTTCTCTCGGAGAGTAATGACCAACGAGGCGGATGGGGTGGTTGCGAGCTACAAGGCATCCCTCTATCTGGTGATCGCTACTTGGGAAATCTAGGTTTGTCTGGCTGGCACGAAATGAGACGAATTCCCGCTGACAAAGAGTAGGGTCTATATTACTTTGTGGTATCGCCATTGTCGTTTCAATACTGCTATTGTTGCGTTCGGAGAGAAAGAAGGCTGCAGTTGGCCGGAGGTCCGTGTCGAGTACTTTCACTTCGCAGGCCATTTGACTGACATAGCTGCAGGGAGATGCAATTGTTCCTCATCGGTTTTATTATAATCGAGATATGCGAAATATTCACAGTTGGGGAGTTTCCTCTTAATGCGACAGTACGAATCGTACGTAATATTTCGACAAAATTAATTCTCGGTGCTAGCGAGGCTGACTTGATTACTTAGGCCTTCACCGGAATACACATCGGAATGATCATCGCAACGACATGGATTCTACTACTTAATGCTATCGTAGGATATCAGATCCTCGATGACGGCACTCCGGTTTCCATGGGACTCATGTTCATCTCTGGCGCCATCCTCTTCGTCGGTACCGGTTATATCACGCTCGATACTGGATTTCACTGGACCAACGAATTTATTACCAGGGCCGACGAGCATTATCGAAACATCGCACTTTACGTACTCTACCAGCTCGCCCCGCTTGTTTTCCTCGTGGCCTTCTTTGTCTTGGAAGCCGTTCTCGTCCTGAGAATCTTAGGTGAGATTCGGCCCATGATCTACCTCACAGGCGCTGCCATTCTGTTCGCGATAGGCCAGGTCTTCAACTACGTCATCAGCCCGTACATTTGCAACGGAACTAGCGGCAAGATCGACGGTGCGTTATTTGAAACGCTCTTCACTCTACTCTCGGTTATTATGATCTGGGTATTCTGGTCGAGCATCACCGAAGACGACTGGCCGATTGCTAGCCAGCCCACAGGCTACCCTTAATTCTTTTTGTCTCTCATTTTCCTGCGGCGTCGGCGTTCAGGTTTACCAATATACCCGTTCTTGTTCTCTTCTTTTCATTCCTTCGCTGTTTCCCGTCGGCAACCATGTCGTTTTGCAGGGAACAGCAATAACAAAAAATACAATTGAAAATTTAATGCACGTAGAAATCCTAGTTATCTTAAGCAAGGGTGGGCTGAAAAAGCACGATCGCATGCGCAATACGAAGCGACGCAAGTACGCTTGGAGGGGGGGGGATGTGATATCCATACATAGGGTGGCAGATGTGCCATTCGCTAGTTGGCGGAGAGCTTAAAGGCGTGGTTGATAGTATACCCCGGATATGTGCGACTAATGTATATGAGGTCGTATGGTACAGTTGAATAGTCTCAAGCTTGACGAGCCACTTTAGTGAAAGTTTTTCTTCTTTTCATGCTGCATGACGTGAGTGAGCCGGCATTATCTACATGTACATGTATGTATTGATGTGTAGAAGTAGAAGCAGCATGAACATGTATGCCCCACTTGTACTACTCTAACCTTAGGTTAGATATAGAGTTAGACATGAACCTATGTATTATCTAGAGCTTTTCTGATTGGCCTAAATTCCAAGAGCTAAATACAAGGCTGTATATTTTCGGCAATAGCATTTCAACAAAGAAACAGTAGTAACAGCCTCGTCTTCTAAACCTCTCCATACCTAACAACTTTTCTTTATTTACTCACTCTAGGTCCTCTAGGACTATCGCAATACTTCCTCTCGGTAACGCTATATCAAGAACTATCATATCATTTGCAGGGTTATGCTACTCTTCAGAACGCCCCTCAACAATGCTCTTAAGGTATTCTAGGAAACCCCCAGCTGCGTATCTACCTACATTTAGAGCTTAGGTATCCCTTCCTTTCTTCCCTTCTTTTCTAATTGCATAATACGACACCTCCCGACGCGGAGGATACTTTATCCATTCAATTCTTACCGATCCTTTCGAAATCCGAACGGTACAAGCACGAACCCCAATTCAGAGCGTAATTAGACCATGGCCGACTCCGATGGCGAATTCCAGGCTGATGACGCCTCCGATGACGAGTTCGGCGATCACCAGGTAACATCCAGTACCCGAAACGATACGCGATCGCGGAATCGGACCGACAAGAGCAAGAAGAGTACTCGGAAGGGCGCGAAGGCCGCCTGGGAAGATATCCAACGGTCGTGGGACACAGTCGTCGAAGATGCCGACGGTACGCTCACGGGGGCGATCGAGGGTCGTGCCGAAGCAGAGAAGCGGGCGCGACTGCTTAAGGATACGACGCCCTTACAACGTGGTATCATACGACACCTTGTTTTAGTTTTAGATATGTCCTTCGCCATGCTCGAGAAGGACCTGCTGCCCAGCAGGTACGAACTGGCCATGGCCTACGCCTCCCAATTCGTGAGAGAATACTTCGAGCAGAACCCTATCTCCCAACTAGCGATTATAGGCATGCGGGACGGCGTCGCAGTCAGAATAAGCGACATGAGCGGGAATCCAACAGACCACCTAGAGAAGTTACAGGGCTGGGTCAAGCAGGACCCTCAGGGAAACCCAAGTCTGCAAAATGCCCTGGAGATGTGCAGGGGTGCTCTATTGTGGGTTTCTACAGCTTAATCGGAAAGGATGAGGGAAGCGGAATGACTGACGAATTTTTGGGTATAGCCACACACCATCGCATGGAACGAGAGAGGTCGTGATAGTCTACGGCGCCTTAATGTCTAGCGATCCGGGAGACATACATGAGACGATTAATGCGCTAGTCACCGATAGGATACGCGTGTCTATAGTAGGCCTCGCCGCACAAGTAGCTATCTGCGACGAACTCTGCTCGAAGACCAATGAAGGAGACAACTCCAGCTATAGTATAGCTTTACACGAGGAGCATTTTAGGGATTTACTAATAGCAATCACGACGCCTCCCGTCACGCGCACGCAAGAGCAGAGCAACGCTAGCTTGCTTATGATGGGCTTCCCTTCGAGGACCCTCGCGGTCGGCGGCAGTACCCATTACTGCGCATGCCACAACCGGCCAACGCGCGAAGGCTACGGCTGCACCCGCTGCGGATCCCGCGTCTGCAGACTACCCGCCGAGTGTCCCGGCTGCGGACTCACACTCATCTTATCCACACATCTAGCCCGATCATACCACCACCTGTTCCCACTACGCAACTGGGTCGAAGTACCATGGACCGAAGCCAAGCGCTCCAAGGCCTGCTACTCGTGTCTAACGCCGTTTCCCGAGCCTGCCAAACCCAAAATCACGGTCAAAGGCAAGGAGAAGACGGGCGGCAGCGGTGGCGCAAAACCACCGCCGCCGAGGGGTCTCAGCGAGTCTGGTAGGTACGCGTGCGAGGTCTGCAGGAATCACTTCTGCATCGATTGCGATTTGTTCGCTCACGAGGTCCTGCATAATTGCCCCGGATGCCAGAGCGATACTCGAGACGCGCAGAATGGCGATCCCGGCGGCGGCAGTAGTAACGGCGCTATGGAGATAGATTCGTAAACCCTTGGATGGGCTCAAAAGGAAATTCGCGTAGTGCGAGCGAGATAGATCATATATCAGATCGGGTCTGTTACAAGGTTGGCGTAGTCTGTTACTTACTTGCTTGCTTGTTTGCTTAGGGGCTGGATCTTTTTTTTCGATGGAATGCCGTGCCTTCTGGCATATGACCACTACCTACCTATTATTATTGTTGCATGGAAAAGGGGGCGTTGGCGGGGCCGCATACTAGTACTACTACTACTTATACTTATCATTACTAGATAGGGGATTTTGCACCGGACTCGTTCGAGGACGCGGTTATTCTTTCGTATAGAGAGGGGAAGAGGAAGAGGAAGAGGAATATAAATGGCATCCGAATGGAATGAATGACAGAAGATTAGCTAGCTAGCTAGCTAGCTATTCTATTTATAAAGGCGGCTTTGTAGCGGCTACATGTACAGAGTTATAGCATCGTCCTCCCCAAGCCATCATATCCTATCCTATCCTATCCTATCCTATCCTTCCTTCCGTTGATGATGCGACATGCAGTTAGTCAATGAATCAATCTCGCTGTGTTATCATGCCATGGTCTCGTTAAGTATTAGGTATATCATACATGCGCCCTCCTCGTCCTCACTTGCCGTCCGGCAAGCATAGTAGAGGCATCATCATCTTCTTCTTCTTCCCGTATCTTCCAACTTACAAGTTCCCCCTCTGAGCCTGTTCCCGCTCGATAGCCTCAAACAGGCTCTTGAAATTCCCGGCGCCAAACCCGCCGAAATCGTGCCGCTGGATGATCTCTACGAATACCGTCGGCCGGTCCATAAGCGGCTTGGTGAACAGCTGTAGTAGGTACCCGCCCTCGTCGTAATCGATCAAGATACTCAGCTTCTGCAGCGTCTCGAAGTCCTCTTCAAGCTCCCACTTCCTCTTCTCTGTGCGCATGCGCTCCTTCATAGTCTGATAGTACGTATCCGGGACGGCAATGAACTCGACCCCCCTAGCGCGCATAGCCGTGACCGCGGCCACGATGTCGTGGGTCAGTAACGCGATATGCTGGACCCCCGGGCCGGAGTTAAACACGACGAACTCCTCGATCTGGGACTTCTTCTTGCCGGGCGCGGGCTCGTTGATGGGCATCTTGACGACGTCGTTGGCGCTGCTCATGACGATGCTGCGCAGCGCGCTAAACTCGGTGCATATCTGGCTGTCGTCGACGGACCAGAACCGGTGGAACGACAGGCACCGCTCGTAAAACTCGCAGGCGGCTACCATGTCATCCCATGACTGGTTGCCGACGCAGTGGTCGATGCGGGCAAGGTCGACGTGCGGGAGGACTGTGCTAGAGGGCGGAGATGAGCGCGCTTGGAAACCGGGTAGGAAAGGTCCTGTGTAGTTCCGCCGCGAGATGAGGGTGTGTGTTGTGTCGCCGTAGGTCCGGATCACGGCCGTTAGTACGTCGCCGTTCTGCTTGTCACGGTAGAGCGTGGGGGGCTGGACGGAGACGGCGCCTTGTTCTACAGCGTGGTTATATACGCCCTCTACACTATCAACTTCAAATGCGACGTCCCGAACGGCATCACCGTGTCTCTCGAGGTGGTCGTGCATCTCCTTGAGCTGCTTGCGCTCATCCTCAGTGATAGGTTCATCTTTAGGTAAATAAGCATACGAGCGGATCGGCGACGTGAATACGAAACGGACGTCCCCGCAGGCCACGACGTGCGATGTGAAGTACCGGCTACCAGTCTCTAGACCTCGATATGCAACCGTCTCGAAGCCGAAGAGCGTGGTGTAGTACGACGCGGCCTGCTTCGCGTTGCCTACCCACCAAGTGATGTGATCGTAGCCCTGGAAGTTAGGCACGCCAGCCTGGACGGCGTACTCGTCTGCGTGCGGGGAGTACCTCGGGGGAGATTCTGAGATCGCGGAGGGGGCCATATTTGTGTGACTTGGTCGACTGACTTATGCTCTATAGGGTTTACTTAGGATGATAGATAGGTATAGGTAGGTAGGGAGAGAGTAAACTAGCTATGTAAGTGCTAATATGTGTAATATAATCTTAAATACGAGATCCAGAAAGAGGAAACCTTAAGAGATAGAAATACACATATGAGAGATCTTCAATGTCATCTTACCTAACCTATCCATCTATCCCTACCCGCCCTCTGGTCCTAACAATATAACGGTTAAAGGGGGATAGGCCAGGGACTCTGGGTCGGGACGAATTCCGCACAGCCTCCCATATGCCGGCTCCAATTTATACGGCAAGGAGCGTCCCGGGCAACCATTACTGGGAAAGGGTCGTCAGACGGGCATTTGCGAAAGCGGGCTTACCGATACGCTCGACGTGATAGGGCCGTGGAGCCTCTCAAACTAAATTCGGCGGCTGCGGAAACAAAGACGTCAGACTGCCGAAGCTAGCCGCTCCCCGTAGCTCATTCTCCCGGACCACGCGCAGTTATCCGACACAACCCATTGCCTGTACGTCCAATGAGGCGAGATGGCTTGGGACGGCTACAAGGGGAACAAATCCTTATCTTGCTGACCTTAGGTACTGCAGGTGAAGAAGGTTCGCGGAAGGTAGCAGTAATCTTCGGCATTGTATTGGGGGTCCAAGTGGAGAAACGAAGACTCGAGTGCTGGTCTATCATTGATCAAGCCAAGCCGTCCTACAGGCATATCTGCTGTGTCGCCCAGTCCATTTATTCAAGGCCATTCCAGTTAAGATTTCTCGATATACTGTATCATCACACCATAACTGCCATTTCGCCGTTCCCATTCCCATTCCCACATCATAATCCGCTCAAAAACACCTTGGGCACCCATTCATCGTCACGATATCTTAGTTCGGTCCAGAAGTACTCAATATGGCGACAAGCTCCCTTAGCCGTCGAGACTTCAACGTCCTCGAGAAGATCAGGGACCCGGAATCGAATCCAACAACAGCCGTTCTTGTAGATGACACATTGCCCAAAGATCCGAATATAACGGACACATCTGTATATGACCGTGTCTCTCGGAGAGAGCGGGATATCGTACTGGCTATGCAGCAGCTTGAGATGCAACTAGCTGGTTTGCGGTCAGCATCAGCAGCAGAGCCGATACAGGAATATCGACAATGCTTGTCTAAACTCGGGGAACTTATAACAGAATACCCTAAATACGCTAGTGCGCGAAATAATAGAGCACAGGTCTTTAGGAGGCTGTACGGAGATGCACTGCTGTTATCTGGTGATCAGACCTCGAGGGGGTTGTTAAACGACGTCGACGAGCTCGAGAAATCTCAAGCAGCAGACCTGGCTCTTTCCGATCTAGACCAGGCCATTTCCCTGCTAACTCCGAAGAGCATGTTCGCGGCTCTCTCACCACAAGCCGGGAAAACTTTGTCACTCGCGCACACCCAACGAGCAGCGATCTATCATATGACCTCCAAGTCCTTTCAGGCCGGCAGTAAAATCAACATTGTCGGAAGAAAGGAGGAAGCGTGGACGAAGAACGACTTTGAAGAGGCAGCATCGAGAGATTTTGCCTTGGGAGGAAGATATGGAAACGATATTGCGAAAGCTTTGGCTGTGAGTACTAATCCCACAGCCAAGCTTTGCGGTCAGATGGTGAGGGAGGCCATGAAGAAGGAATATGGCCCCCCATATGCTTCGTAAACAAGTTATTTGGTTAATTTCCAAGTTGTTGAGTAACTCCGTTAGAGAACAGCCGTCAGTCGTTGAAAGAGCTGATCTGATTGAACCCATTAATGATAAATATAATGACGAATTCTTCGGTCCTGTCCACCATTATCAAGTATGAACTTCTTGTCTTGAATTGCTTGTTCCTTAGCCAGTACACACATGAAGACTGAGGATGGTGTAGAGGAAGCTGTATTAAACTCGATTCTAGTTGGTTGGTACGATAGTCATAGCGATGCTCCAGAAACTAGACTCAGAGTGTATAGAATGTAATATCACTTAGTGATAAACACACCCACTATGGAATTGTGTAAACATCCCAAAACCACAAGCCTCTGCTAACAAGACGTAGGAGGTATGATGGTTCACTGTTCGATATGGGTATCATTGCGCTGGTTTACTGAACAGACTACTGACTCGTCTAAATGAAACCTAAATTAGAAAGGAATGCTCATTTTACTATGTAATATGTGAGATATCTACCTCTTCCCGGCTTCGACCGTCTGCTGTGTCGTTTTGCCCTTCTCCTTGCCTTCACGGTTGATTCTTGTAGCTGCCGCTCCGAGCCCTATCGCGATAGCAAAGATAGGATCCGCTACCCGGGAGATGATATATGTTGGGGGAGCCATTTAAACGAATCTTACGGTAGGGGTGTATTGTTGACCAGTTAATCGTCCTTTATAGTTGTGGCTAGTGTATGAGTAGAGCTCTCGATATAAAACAAACCTCTTGAGCTTTTCGAACCATCCCCCACTTTAACTTTTCCTATCAAAGTGCTTAAAAGCTTAGACCACGTGAAGCAGCCCGAAAAGCCCCACCCCACACAATCAAGCCAATCAACTAAATGAACCCTTTCTTCGCTTAATTTTCTCAGGCACATTTTCGATTTTCTTAGCCCATCGCAAACAACCTTTACTATCGAATTCATTCTCAATCGACCAATTCGCCAACCCACCGACAACAACCTCGACTTCCCTTTCGCCTTTCGACAAACGACGACAGCGGAGCCGACAAGATGAAGTTCCTAAAGGTTGGCCGAGTAGCCATCATCACCCGTGGCCGATACGCCGGAAAGAAGGTATGTACCAGACGAAAGAAAAAAAAATTGTTATTCGAAGAATTAAACAAAAGACTTGTTGGATATATGGTGGATTGGATTTGGCACAACTACGATCTCCGAGAAGCCGCGTCGGAATCATTGTATAAGCACAAGCATAAGCACATATACGGTCCTTCATGATTTTACACCACAACGATATATTTATATAGTCAGAAGGGAATTGGGAACATTATTCTAACGGAACCAACTCTCCAGGTCGTCATCATCCAGCCCGTCGACAGCGGCAACAAGGCACACCCCTACGGCCACGCCCTAGTCGCAGGCATCGAGCGCTACCCCTCCAAGATCACCCGACGCATGTCCAAGACGCGACAGGACAAGCGATCCAAGATCAAGCCTTTCATCAAGGCCATCAACTACAACCACCTGATGCCCACACGATACACCCTCGAGCTCGAGGGCCTCAAGGGCGTCGTTTCCGGCGAGACCTTCAAGGAGGTCAGCCAGCGCGAGGACGCCAAGAAGAACGTCAAGAAGGTCCTCGAGGAGCGCTACACGAGCGGCAAGAACAGATGGTTCTTCACGCCCCTGAGTACGTGTCCCTCTTCCCTCCATACAACTTACCTATCCATGCCCACCTTAACCTCGATATTCCCTTCACATTCTCAAAGATATAAAAAAATAAAAATAAAATAAAGGAGAAAATAGTTGCTAACTCCCTTCTCGCAGAATTCTAATCCTTTCGTCTGCATACTTCCGTCGTTCGGTCTTAAAGGGGGTTCGGTCTGGGATGTAAATCGCATCATCAATGGCATTAGGAAGCCTCAAAGGGTCTTGCTCTGAATTCAGAAACATGAAAAATGAACACATCTGATGAATGAAACCTCCACGTCTCGGCCGTACATGAGTGACTGACTGGTGCTACTTTCGCTCGCGGGTTCTTAGTGATTGATTTGCAACTCATCAACTTGAGACTGACCGAGCCCGCCCGCACACCCGCCTGTACTACACCCCGGGTCTCTGGGATTAGTATCCGGGTTGCACGTAGGTTGGATGGTTACTGGAGGTGCGAGTATATAAGACTCCGTCACCAACGGATCAAATTGTTTCATATGGCAACACAGGATGATTGTAGCCGTATCCCAGTAGAATCTCCAAAGCCCTTTTCTCACCTAGGATTTCTATATTGCAAGGGAGCTTCTTGATTGTACTTTATATACAACCCCTCTTGCTAGCCGGACTTAGATAGCCTAAATGTATATTCCCTATGCTCAAGACCGTGCTCAACTTTATACTCGAGACAATAGCACATTGACCACGTAAAAGCAATAAAATTATAAATTAACGTGCAAATTTGATCTCGTTTTCATTCAGGTCTAATACCTCCTAGGCTCTCTAAGTTACATGAAGACTAGCCCTGTCTGTCGTAATGCGAGCAGATGCAACCCGACCCTTGCAATTGACGCCATGTCTGCTATCTATAGCCGTGCAATAAAATACCGTGTTGACTACCCTTTCATCAGTGTCCACGGCGTAAAGGAAAATCTCTCCAACTACTACCATCCCCTACGAAGATGAAGCGGAAAATGTGCAATTATGTACCCGAAAAATCAGGAGAAACGCGTACTAGGTCGTCACGTAGCGTCCCACCATCAGACCCTGTTCTCATTAGAACCCGAGTTATAACTCCCATCCACCTAGAAGATTACAAAGGCATACGGTGAAAGGAGAGGTTTCGTTGACACATATTCGCTCATGAGGAGACGCCGAACTTCTCAGCAGCACCGGAAAGGTACTGCGAAGGGTCGTAGGCGTAGTTGGGGGCCAAGCCACCGAAGAGGACGAACACAAACAGTAGTGCTGCCGCGATGACGACTACCTTGCGCAGAGCAGGACGCGTGGCACCAAACTCGGCCCAGTGTCGGCCAGCTTCACCAGCATATCCCTTAATAGCCTCAATACCAAGCTTGTAGTAGACCATACCACCGAGCGCAATGGTGTAACCGAAAGCCTGGAGGCCAGAGACAGGGGTACCCCAGATAAGCATGGAGGCTAGAACAAGCATGACATCCTTGAGGACACCACAAAGAGTCATGATGACAGCAGAGGTCTTGCCAATCTATACAACTTATTAATACCCACACTAATTTTCGATGAGACATTGAAACTTACCAGGAAGACAACTGAGACGTTAAGGAGGAAGGCACAAAGTCCGTTCAAAAAGAAGGTGAAGAGACCGACGTGGTAAACTTCAGCAATGGAGACCTTGGGAACCTCCCAAATGAGGGCTACAGCACCGTTCATGGCAGCGCAGATGGGTGCAAAGTAGTACAGGGAAACGAGAGGGTCCATCTTGTACTCGGCAGAGCTGAGCAGAGCCTGGACAAGGTTGAGACGGATAGCTTCGAACATAAGACCTCCCAACTGGTAGAAGAAACCAATCCAGACGAATCGGATCTCACCGAATGAGGCAATCATGACACCAACAACGATGGCAGACACGTTGAGGAGCTGCTTGAGGTTGGGGGGTGCAAGACCCATAGCCCAACTGGAAAGTAAGACTGCAACGGGGGTGGTGGCCTATCGTAATCCTTCGTCAGCAACCTTATACTTCCATAATCACACCTGCTCGATTATTCATACCTTGATCATCTGGATGAAAGCGACACTGAGGTAGAGGTAGGTCAAGTTACCGCAGATCAAACTCAAGCTGAAGAAGACACCGATAGGAACGATAGCACGGAGGTAGACGCGTCCAGTCATCTTGACAGACTTGCGACCGTCAAGGAGGGTGGTGTAGCGCGCCATCAGCTGCGTCGCAATGGTCGCGAACGTTAAGTGATAGGTGGTCAAGATAACGGGGTAACCTAGAACACTGTTAGACTCCATTTATGGCAGTTAGGTCAACAACGTTCGGGGGGCTCTTACGGAATTCGAGCGTGTCGAGAATCCATTTGTTGAACAGAATGACAGACGACGAAAGACTGATCCATACTCTGTAGCAACTTGTTAGCTACGCGTCCTTATCTTGAACTACAATTATATTGACTCGGGGGAGACTCGACATACGCAACGTAGAAGGCCGGGTGGATGGCCGGCTTGGGAGGCTGAGGTTTGTCGGCCTCGGGGTTCGTGGTGGGCAAGATGGGGCCCTTTGGCTCCGGTCGGGGAACCTCACCAGAGGTACGAATCTTTTCGTCCGCCATTGTATTGATTATTCACGTCTGAAGTGAAGGTTGAAGATTTGCTAGTGCGATGTGACTAAGAAAGGGGTAGAATGAATTGAAGAGGACACGGATGATGAATGAGCGACAAGGCCAAGCCTGCTGAGACCAATTAAAGATTTAGGTGAATCTTGGGGGAGTGGCGCAACTGTTTACGAGTTTCTGCAGTTGTTGCCGAATTGTCAACTTTTGTTCTCTCTTCCGTGAACTTCGAAACAAGAAGTTGTTTGTGGTGCGGAGGAGAGATTCGTCAACAACTGGAGGGGGAAGCAGTGGTGACAAAAAAGGAGGATGGACAAAAAGAGAGAGGATTGAAAAAAAAGAGATGGTACGGCTAATAAATTTTCAGAATGAGAGAGGTGCTTCTACGGTTGACAGGCCTACCCAGGCACCCTTCAAGCGGTACCTAGTAATGCGGTACCTACCTTGTAGGGGCAATTTGTGATCCCAAGAGCTTATCCCGCACAATTTTAGCCCCAGACCCGCCCCAATTGAATCAGCGCTTTCAAACACGGTCGCATCATCAGTGCGTTCCGTTCACTACAAGCAACACTTACAGGCATCTTTTCGGGCTGTGTGCCTTTACTGTGGCAGCTGCTGTGGTACCGGTAAAGATAGGCCCATAGGGTACTTGTACAGGTACAAACCACAATCTAATCCACCCCCACTAAAGCTCATTCCCTGGAAATCCCTGCGCTCAGGGGAGTCAGGGGCTAATAATTGCGTAGTGCTGCCCGAAAGGGATAAGCGCACGATGAGGAGATATCTAAAACCTGCAATCTACAGCCGCTGATGTCGTTTTAGGAGGCTCTCATTTTATCATTCGCTTGCATTGGATCCCATTTTTGGATATCCCTCCCCACGGCAGCCACAGAACAAGGAAAGGACTTGGAAGACTTTGTGGTTGTCCAATACAATTTTAGAAGATTACAATGCTGTAAGCTAGTTGCTGTTGTGGGTTCACATTAAAGAGTTCTTGTTTCAAGATAACACTCTAAAGAAGAAGAAAGTCTTGCAACCTTTGCGATAGACATACCAGATCATTTTAAGTCCAATACATAACAAATAGCATTCTTCACGTTCTGCGAGTTCGTGACTCGTTATTTATTAAGTCGAGTCTAGGGAGTATGGTACGCTTTAGGCTTCCTACATGTTCCTTATTCCTGTTTTGTAATCCGTACTTATCTCAGCTCAACTCAACCTCGTATACCATACCGCACTACGAGTCTACATTCAGTCGGTGGATGGGCTGGCTGGGCTGATGGGGAAGCGGGATATTTTGCCATGGAAAGAAACCATACATACATAGAAACCACGAACGAGTCGGAAAATATCCACCAAAAGCATGTTTCATCTACTGCTCGTCATATCAAGATTCAATGTATCTGAAGCTTGTCCACAGACTAAATCAGGGCTATCGATAAAATTACAGACTGTACCGTTGCTACTCCGCTGTGACGTAGTTACCGCGAAAAGGCAAAAAAAAAGTTCCGATTTCCAACCATGTTATTTGGATGGGTCAGTCTGGACTAGGGCTATCAGAGGCTATCGTGAAAAGATAATGAGGCTACGCGGGGTCCTTCACACCATTTAGTCGATTGGCCGCTCGTCGCGCGGAACGTAAGGTTTTTGTTCGTATCGAACGTCATCAAGTCCTCTTCGGTCCAAAATACGAGATGCAAGGCAGGTATATAAACTTCGAGGCCACGTATCACGGCCTGAGGCTCTCGATTCGACATAATTCAAAATGTTCAACGTTCCACCGCCGCGAATCACGCCGGCCGCGTACCTGCCCGTTTTTTTTTTTTTTTTTTTTTTTTTTTTTTTTTTTTTTTTTTTTTTTATAAAAAATACCTGAGTCGTTGATAATTGTGTCCTAGTCAATGTCTTGCCGCCTGCTGAGTGGCATAGCTAAGCGGCATCCCGCGTCCCAGGCAAGTGGTTGTTCATGTTACAGATAAATAACTTGTATTGGTTAGGTACATACATATAACCTATGACCCCCTATCCTCGTGGATTCTTTATCGAGGTACAGATTTTACTTAGCTAAATAGGCGTTTTTATGGCGTCGTCTACTGCATGTCAGCTCTGGCCGTTGACATATTAGGCTTGCTTTTAGGACTCAGGCCTCAGACCTGTGCTCATAGAGGTATGCTAACCGTCGAACGTTGTTAGCCACGTGCAATAGAGGCTTGTCTAGCCTTGATTATAAAAAGTATAAAAAGGGCCTATCTCCGGTGTATTATGCCTGTAGTTGTCAATATAATTATTATTAACATGGAGCACATAGAGTTCGTAAAATATATGCCATTTTCTAGTTAATGCCTCGCTTAGTACAGCAGGATCATGCAAGATGATGGTATGATGTAAGAGGGCTACCCCTGGCTTGCTTTGTTCTGTAACGAGCTTAAGCCCTACATGTACGAAGTACAGCTGTTTCTGATTTGATTCCGCGAGCTCTAGAAAACATTAGGTACTGTTTAGCTACTATATAACCGCTGCTACAAGCTGATTCCGTATCCGAAATGCGAGATCGGATAGTTAAACAGATAATACATGTACCCGTATGTCTATGTAAGAAACGTTCGCCATAATTTTGTAACGAATATTTATAGTAACTACCCTAATAATGCTAAGCCATTAAGCCAGCATAGCGTAAAAGATCAGATCAATACAGTAGATATCTGCATATTCAACTGTCCGACATTCTCTAGCCTCCCCACCCTGTTCGGACTATCATCATCTCTTATGTATAGGAGCCGGCGGAGAGCTAGTCCTTTAGTTGATAGCCATAGGTATACATACACTCAAGAAGAAGCTATTCTGAACTTGGTTTCAGCGGAAGTGAAACCTGGGTATTTCCACTTGGAGATATTTCTTTTTGAGCCGCCAGGCGGTCTAGTGGGCCAACATATAAACTTGAGACGGCGGCTTAGGCGAGTTTGCAAATCTTGACCGTCGATCTCGCGGAGCTAACCGGCCCTGAGGCTCCAACTAGAAGTCCAAGTTGAGAGGGATGCGCTTTTACCAGCCAAACTTAGTACCTAGTGCTATGAGCGGAAAAGAAGATCGACAAAGGCTGATGTATAGGTACATGAACGTTAGAAATAGCCATTGACCTGGGTATGGGCGGAACACGACCTTATCGAAATTAAACGATCTTCAAGTCCCAATTTGAGTGACGAATGCAACACATTAATCGCAAAGTGACAGGAGTGGATAAGCCAGTGGGAGATGTATGTACATACACAGATTACCGGACAGATTACTTGGTGTAGACCGATAGAGACCGTAGGGTAGGGGTGGTGACACTGGTGGGAAGCCGCGCATACAAAGAAGAACAGTTCTCCGATATTTGTTCTTTTATTTCATAGATACTCTCAACACCAACTTAGATGCCGGGGGTTCTAGAGCTGGCTGGCCTCTAGTAGATTTTTTTTTGTACTTCCTTATACATAATAGGTGTTCCCACCGCCTGACTCGCTAAGAGCCCATGCTACATACACACATACCACGAAAGAATTGTCTCGATACACTATAGCTCAACTGTGGAGTTTGGTATAATGCACCGGGGAGAAAACACCGGGGAGAAAACACCGGGGAAGAAACGTCGGGGTTGATGACAACGATGTGTTGTTGACCGTTGACCGGTAAAAGATGCTTAGCTTCCATTACCAATCTTGCCTTGCATGCACACGTGGTATCACCAAGACGCTATAGAAAATCTACAGCACACACATGCTATGTATCTATTTATTCTATTTCAGGTGTCCAGCCTAAAATGTCGTGCGCGATAACTTTGGAGGCTCGATAGTTGACGCGTACAAGGGACGGGTATGAGCTTCATCTTACTATAAGATTACGAACAGGGGTTTCCCGGTGTTCGACCAACCCTCACTTGTTGGTAATTCTCTCGATTTGCAGCCACACATCCCGAATTCGCTCCTATCCAGCCATCCTGCCTTCTCTTCACATGCAGGTATGTATGTATGTGTGTGATGTCCGTTATGGATTAGCACGGTAAGTTAATAGATCAGCGACTAGTGATCGTCATAACATATCCCCCCCTATTTGAGGAATTTATTATGTAGGTAGGGAAGAGTCTCCTGAACTTACCCCTGACTTGTTGACTTGTCAATGGTTGCCCAAGTAGGAGGCAAACTAGCGGTAACTAGGCGGTATTTACACATACACTACTAAAATTCGTGCTACTCAAGCGAATCATGATAGCGAGGCTACTCTGGCTACTCGAGCAGAGTTCGACGGGAAACCCGTAACCTCTGGTCCCTGCAGCTACCTATGTACTTGGAACAATCTGTCTTGAGATGTAGCGAGGGGGAGAAAATATTGATCTCGAATAGGTAACTTTATCTTCAATGGATCTTTGATTTAGCCACACCGTTTTATACAAAGTCTCGATTGCTCGAATACTCCATGTTGTACTCCATGCATACAACATGAGGTAAAATTCCATATGGTCTCTTCTGCTTTGGAAGGCCTAGGTTTTATTCGATATGCCTCTATTAGGTAGCAATAATGATACCTGATAAAGACGAGTCGGGTACTTTTTGCAAGGTACTTGAGGCATGTATCCAGAGTAACATGCAGGTGCAGGTACCATCTTTACCTAATTAGGTATTAGACCCCATCCAATTGGGCGGATGAATGTTGCCAAGTTGCATGACGGAGAGACAGGGGTGGCTTCATGCGTGGGGCGGCGCACAAGCCTGCACCCAGCTTAGGGTGACACTAAGTATCATCCACAATTTTAGTTTATCTAGTACCCCTCCAAAATATTATACATAGAAAACACCACGCTGCTCTCTTACGACTCGGTTTCTTTTCCCTTTGAGAATCCTCCTTGCCTGCCACACGATCCATTCGCGTTATAACATAGAGTTAGACGGACTTTATCCTGCAGCATTCATTGGCTTGGATAGTCTCTCATCCGTTCTTTTCGCCTTGTAAAGACAGTTCTGTCTTCAAAGACCTCTCTTAACCTGGTCAACTTCCCCGCCCTGATCTGGAAACTATACCCAGACAACAACAAGATGTGTGCAGACATGTAAGTTTCTTAGTTCCATGTCTAGGAGAAAGAACCCTCGGAAGTATTATCTTTTAGTGAAGCCTAATTGACTAACCTTTGCTCTCGTAGTAACGTCGACGTTCTCGTTATCGGTGCTGGCCCTACGGGTCTAGGTGCTGCGAAGCGCCTCCACCAGCTGGTACGTCTTCACCGCCTTTCAAACTAATGTGCATGTTAAGCTAACATTTTGTAACAGAACGGTCCTTCATGGCTGATCATTGACTCCAACGAGAAGGCTGGTGGTCTTGCCTCTACGGACGTCACTCCTGAGGGCTTCGTAAGTTTATACTATCCTCAAGCTCGTCGTGCCTAGTAAGCAACTAACCTTGGATTCTGCTCTATAGCTCTACGATGTTGGCGGCCACGTCATTTTCTCTCACTACAAGTACTTCGACGACTGCATCGACGAGGCTCTCCCTAAGGAAGATGACTGGTACACTCACCAGCGTATCTCCTATGTCCGCTACAAGGGCCTCTGGGTTCCTTACCCCTTCCAGAACAACATCTCCATGCTGGCTAAGGAGGATCAGGTCGAAGCTCTCGACGGCTTGATCGATGCTGCCCTCGAGGTTCGCGTCTCAAACACGAAGCCCAAGGACTTCGACGAGTGGATCATGCGCATGACCGGTTCTGGTATTGCCAACATGTTCATGAGGCCCTACAACTACAAGGTCTGGGCCGTTCCCACCACCAAGGTAAGCTATGCTCTCGGACAAGCTAGTCCTCTGTATCCGTTTCTAACTCGTAATTTAGATGCAATGCCAATGGCTGGGTGAGCGTGTTGCTGCCCCTGACGTCAAGAACGTGGTGAAGAACGTCGTTCTTAACAAGGTTGCCGGAAACTGGGGCCCCAACGCCACATTCCGCTTCCCCGCCCGTGATGGCACTGGTGGTATCTGGATTGCTGTTGCGAACACTCTCCCTGACGAGAAGAAGCGCTTCGGTAAGAAGGGTGAGGTCACCAAGGTCGACGCCGACAAGAAGGTCGTTACCCTCAAGGATGGTACTACTATCGGCTACGATAAGCTTGTCTCCACCATGAACGTCGATCAACTAGTCGAGTCCATGGGCAACCAGGAGCTGGTTACCCTGAGCAAGGGCCTATTCTACTCTTCCACTCACGTCATCGGCGTTGGTCTCCGAGGTGCGCGACCCGAGCGTATTGGCGACAAGTGCTGGGTAAGCCATTCTATCTTACTAGCGACATGAATTGAACCATAACTGACTATTGTAGCTATACTTCCCTGAGGACAACTGCCCCTTCTACCGCGCCACCATCTTCTCCAACTACTCGCCTTACAACCAGCCTGAGGCTAATGTCAAGCTCCCCACCATCCAAATTGCCAACGGCAGCAAGCCTACAAGCACAGAGCCCAAGGAGGGACCCTACTGGTCTATCATGCTTGAGGTCTCGCAATCGTCCTTGAAGCCTGTCGACGAGGCAAACCTGCTCAAGGACTGCATCCAGGGACTGATCAACACCGACATGATCAAGCCTGAAGACGAGATTGTCTCCACCTACCACCGCAAGTTCGACCACGGTTATCCCACACCTACGCTCGAGCGTGAGGGTGTCCTGAAGCAACTTCTACCCAAGCTTCAGGACCTGGACATCTACTCCCGTGGTCGCTTCGGCAGCTGGCGATACGAGGTTGGCAACCAGGACCACTCATTTATGTTGGGTGTTGAGGCCGCAGACCACATCGTCAACGGTGCCGTTGAGCTTACGCTTAACTACCCTGACTTCGTCAACAGCCGTCAAAACACTGAGCGCCGTCTTGACCAAGGCCCTCTGGCCGCTAAGAAGAACGGTACTTCTCTACCCTCGCGTTCGAAGTAGGGGTTTGTTTAGATGCGAGGAATGATCCGGAGGCACACGCATTCTATTGACTTTATGGTAATAGATATTAGAAGAACTAAAAAGTTTTTCGTTGAGAGCTACATAGCGTGTAGTTATTCATGTTTGACGAGTGCGACGGTGGTGGAATACTGTAACGATTCTGACTTGATCTTGCAATAACGAGACGGCGCCAAAAGCCGATGTTGCTAGGTTGCCCAAAGGATTTAATGAATAGAAATAGATTTATGAGCTTACAACTATTCGTCGATGCAGAAATATTAATGGTTACGTGAGAATCGACCAATCGGTTCAGACATTAATCAGGAAGTTAATATGATAGGAAGTAGTTCTTGGGGTTTATTGAATGGGTTTCTAACCGGTTAATTTATGCTATTACCTGAGGATTGAATCATAAGATGCTGTAAAACATGAAATTACCGATCGTGTGATTATTGTATAATACTATAGTATTACTACTATACGTTTCATTTGAAAAAGTTGTCGAAAAGAGAGTCGTAAATGGACCGGATTAGGTTCACTGGACTGCTGGACTAAGTATGAAAGTATGACACTAAGTATGGCCACTCTGCCACTTGTATAAACCCCTTGCGCTGGTAGAATACATGGATAATTTGGATTCGCTGCCAAGGCTTTCGCCCTTCCTCCTCTGCTGCACAACTTCGTCACACCCGCAGCAAGGCGTTCGTTCCTCTCTCCAATAAACTCTCATAAGAGGTATATACCCAGCAAGCCCCAGGTGGTTGGTTTAGTGAAACGCAGGTAGACTAAAGGTTTTCCAGTAACTGAAAAACTACGTTAAGTCCGAAATTTTGTAGTGGTAAAAGAGGGGTTAGTTACATAGTACCTATGTAACTCTTGTTAGGGCAGTACGGGATATGGGCGGGCACAGGAAAGGGCAAACCTGCACTGGGCAGAATATAGGCAGGTAGGTATGTAGGTAGGTATCTGGTATATGTGTTAGTCATCCAACTACTTGTAGTCTATGTAATAGTCTTTCCTCTTGCATCTACTGACTGCTTTTTATTAAACGAGTTTTTCTTGTACAACACCGTGGCCAATTCATAATAGGAACTTGGATTACATCAATGTACAATAGAGAAAACTGGCCGCCCCGAATGCTAGCGGTCCCTAGGACTTAAGCGACAAGCACCACATTCTTTACAAACCTGGTGGATGAGGGACCCTTACACTAGTGCACCTGATTTTCTGTCTGGAACAAATTAAACAAAAGCTCCGGGCGGAGAGATCAACGCTCTAGCAATCCGAAACAGCAATCCTAAGCAGCATCCCGAGGACACTTGATTTTGAAAGTGACTCGGATAAACCATGTTTGTCGCGACGGCGGCATCTTGGTCACTCTTTACCCGATAAACCCCGCCGTGCCCCGGCCTACCTCTGTATGTCGAGATATCATCGTCATGGACGGATCCTTGGTCATGCCGGAAGACCAACTCGATCCCCCAGCAAGGATCTTCGAACGACTCCGACAGTTAGGCGGCTTTACCTGGGATGAATCAAGAAGGCCATTTCATTCAAGCTATGACAACTGGTATCCTTTTCCCGAATGCGATTCAGAGCTCGCATGCGTAGTAGTAGTAGCTGTCTAACGCGGACCCTCTTTGTATAGGCACGTATATGGCACAAGATTTGTATCGCCCTATTCAACCACCACGACAACACCCTTGCAGAACCTAGGCAGTCCGTCCGCCATCTCCAAACTAGCCTCGAGCCGTATATCGCCTGGCGACGTCCATGTCGGCTTTTTCTCCCAGAGCGAAGGCAGTAGCGAGCGTTCGTCGGCTTCCCCGCCTGCTTTCTCCAGCCTTGCTACCGATCTAGCGAACGTCGAGGAGCAACATATAGTCGCGCGAATATCCTACCACGTCCTCCGCGAAGAGAGGACCTTCCACATAGCTAAGAATCTGATCGCCACCGCTGACCCGCATGGAGTCCATAATGTGAAGCCCATCGACCTTCTTCGCCTGAATCCGCAACCCGGTGATCGTGCGCCTATAATCGTCGCCATTTACGAGCACCCCGGAGAGAACTATCTTTTCAAGGCTCTAGATCTGGGGCCGGCTTTCTATTATGCCAAGAAGGTTGAGGACCGATTTGAGGCCTATCGCAAAAATGACTTCTCTCTAGCAACTCCCATCAGCCTGATGCATTTTCTCGATTTTGCCATCGGCGCTACCCAGTGTCTAGAGATATTGCATCACGGCCATAATATGGTCCACGGAGAAATCAGAGCCGATGCGTTTCATTTCAACATCGAGACAAATAAGGTAAAGCTAATATCCTTTGGCTCGGGGGTAAGGTCGTTCGAACACGGACTCACTAGCACTGGATGGTCAACACTCTCTAAGGAACTCGGGGCAAAGAACAAATTAGTTTACATCAGCCCCGAACAGACTGGCCGCATGCCGGCAGAGCCTGATACGAGGACTGACATTTACTCATTAGGTGTATTATTCTGGATGCTCCTAACTCAACAACCCGTCTTCACCGGCGCTACACCGTTAGATATCGTCCAGTGCGTGCTAAATCGCCGCATCCCACTAGTGTCGAATATTCGGACGGATGTACCTGAAGTTCTTGGTCGCATTATACAAAAGTGCACGTCTAAGAACATTTCTGACCGTTATTACTCAGCTAGCGGTCTACGCCATGACTTAGAAATGATACAGAAATTCCTGGGGAATGGTGACTGGATGACTTTGAAGGAGTGGCATATTGCTTCGAAGGACATCTCATCGTTCTTCATGTTACCTACCGCTATGATTGGACGTCGGAAAGAGCATTCTGAACTAGTAAAAGTGCTCGAAAGGGTCGCGAGGGGTCAAGCTATTGCTAGCCTTGCGGCTACTAATCGTTACTCTGACGGTTCCGGCTTATCAACCGAGCTCGTCGACGCCGCCGATGTTTCAAGCGAAGGTGCAAGCTCCATTGAAGGGGGAACCCGACGAAGCGGCTCTTTCACCCAGACTAACTTATCAGATGCAAAACAATCAGTAGGTCTCGTCCGGTCTTCAGTTAACGGAACAGATACACAGACTGTCTCCGCCTCTGGCGACACAATATCTTCATGCCACACCGTTCCTAAGATATCCAAATCATTAGACAAGCATCAATCAGTCACCTTCGAGTCCAAAAGTGTGCTCGATGCTATTGGTGAACGCCAATCCTCTTCGCGCCATAGCGGCACAGATACTTCTGCCAGCCTTTCAAGGCAGTTAGGCTCGGCAAAGTTCAGGCGGCGAGGCTATTGCGAAGTTGTTACTATTGAGGGCGCTGGTGGCCTAGGCAAAAGTTTTCTTGTTCAGCAGGTACTAGCCGATGCCAGGCGGAGAGGATATTGTGCAACAGCAAAGTTCGATGCGGCCAGGAGAACAGCGTTTGGGCCGTTATTGAAATTAGTGTCTTCTCTATTCAAACAGGTATGGGGTGAGAGCGACACGGACACGCCTCTTCATCGAGCCTTGAAGGACTATGTTCGTCCAATATGGCCGATGCTCCATAATTTGCTTGGGCTCCCTGAATTCCTCCTCGGTTTTCAAGACCGAACATCCCTCCCACCACAACCGACACCAGGCCTATCTAATGGTCGGATCAGTAGAACTCCGATGAGCAGGCGCAGCTCATCTCCTGTGAGCTCTCCGGGGAGACCACGCCCTCAGAGTCCACGTGTAACGTCGCAGAGCTCGCAAGACTTTCTACGGGCCGGGGTATCTATGAAGACGATTCGCCTGATGAATACGTTCTTGGATATACTGAGAATATTCACAACGCACCACTTCGTCTGCTTGTGTCTCGATGATCTTCAGTTCGCAGACGAGGAGTCTCTAGAGTTGATTACTCAGGTGGTCTCAGCTCGACTCAAGATGGTACTAATAGTAACTTACCGGCCCGATGAATTATCACCAGACGCCGTTCAGAAGATTCTCCAGCCTGCAGACACTGAAGGTAAAAAATCACGTTCTCCCTTACCTGCCCGAACGATCTAAGCTGACTAGCCCCAGAACATCCCAAGTCCGGTGGTCCAAGAATTACTAGGATTGTCCTGTCACCGTTGACCGAATACGAGATCCTACAGTACGTAGCATCGACATTATGTCGACCCCAGGAGGATGTTGCCAATCTCGCTCGCGTGATCCAATCCAAGACTGCTGGTAATCCCTTTTACATGAGGGAGATGTTGAGCGCTTGCTACCGTAAAAGATGTATATGGTACGACTATAAAAAGAATAGGTGGGACTTTAATCTAGATTGGCTCTTTGAGCAATTCAAAGGTGAAGATAATTACGATGTCTTGAATAACGACTTCATCACTCGCAGGTTGAGTGAGCTTCCGGCTGCATCACGTTCTATTCTAGCCTGGGCGGCTCTTTTAGGTAGCACTTTTTCATTCGAGCTAATCTGCCAACTTCTAAGCGGCGCGTTCGACCCCGTCGATGATGGTGGTTACGGGCTGAACGACACGCTCTACCGTACCAAGTACTCCAAACAGGACGCAGTGGCAGGGCTTCAAGCAGCGATCAACGCTTGTATCGTTGTACAAAGCGAAACCGATGATAGATTCCGGTTTGCCCATGACAGATACGTCCAAGCAGCGGCATCCTTGAAAGAATGCAATACCCCTCAAATGCATTTCGCTATTGCGCAGACGCTACTGAAGCATCATGGAACCGAGGGAAAAGCAAGGGACAATACCGCCTCGCACATTGCGGAGGCTGTCGAAATTATCAAGTGCAAGGTTCACGTCCGTCAGCCATACCGGAAACATCTAATGGATTGCGCAGCATTGGCGGTAGAGAGCGGCGCAAGGTCAACAGCTGCTAAATACTACCATAGTGCTATAATGCTCCTACAGCCCGATCCATGGGTAGACGGCCCGGATGACATCGACTACGAGGAAACACTTAAACTTCACTTACGCGCGGCTGAGTGCTACATTTACATGGGAAATCATGCAGCGGCTCACAATCTTGCAAATGCTATCCTCAACGGCGCTAAAACCGCGGAAGACAAAGCCCCTGCTTGGCTTCTACTGGCCCGAGTTCAAGCCCAGAATGGGAATTCGATATCCGCGCTTGCTATCTTGAAGGAGAGCCTCCGCCAATTGAAAGTTGAATTTGATGGGCAGCCGTCCTTCGAGAATTGCGATACCCTCTTCATGGAGGTAGCTGCCCAAATCAAAAGCCTAGACCGAGGGGAGATTCTAAGTCCCCTTGGTACTGTCGATTCCCACGAACTGATAGTCGGGGCTATCCTTACGGAGGCTATTAGTGCCGCTTGGTGGAGTGACTCTTTAGACTTCTACAATCTTGCCCTTGCGCTCATCAACCGCTCCCTAAAGCATGGGCGCTTCCCTCATTCCAGTATTGCTTTTCTCTACGTTGCTATGATCGCACTAGCCCGGTTCAATATGGTCGAATTCGCCGCGGAGCTCGGTAGCCAATGCTTAGAAATCCTAGAACGGACCCGAGATTCATTTTCCTCTGCTCGTGGTTACATGGTATATGCCTCCTTCGTCAGCCATATTCATGTTCCTATCAGCGCTTGTGTAAATCACTCGGAATTGTCCATTGAATACGCCTCCAGCGCTGGTGACCGTATGGCTGTCATTCTCAGCTTTGGGCTCTCGGCTCAAATGAGGCTCTTCGCAAGCGAGAACGTTGTTTATCTCGAGTCAATATGCCAATATTGCTGTGAGGAGGTACCCGGTTGGCACCAAGACACTAGGGGGGGAACCTACTTGATAGCAGTTAGACAAGTTTGCCGCGCATTCCAAGGCAAGACAGATACAACATGTGCGAACGCAGTGATGACGGACGAGCAGCATAATTCAAATGCTTACAAGACATGGCTCGATATCCAAACGCAAAACGGCGGTCGTTCCGTCCTTATATATGAGACAAATGAGATCATCGTCTTATACTTGTATGGCTACTATCAAGAAGCTCGCGAGATGGGGCAGAGGTGCATTGACAAGTTGGACCTGCTTTGGTCCTCTCGAAATACTCGAGCCGTTTTAGTCTTCTACGGGCTTGCCGTTGCAGGTCTCTTGCAGCGCAAGCTCAGCGATCCGCGCACAGCCGATGCTGACCTAGAAACCGAAATTCGCGATACAATTTTACAACTCGAAGATTTGAACAGAAGGATTAAAGATTGGCAGGTTATCTTAAATGCGAATTATCTTGCTTGGTCGAAATTACTAGATGCTCAAATTACGGAGCTGCGTGGTGATCATGGCTCCTCTATACGACATTACGAAACAGCATTGGATCATGCCTCGGAGTACAGTCTTCTTTTCGAGGAAGCCCTTGGGAATTTCTTGATGGCTGGCTTCTTCGTCAGGCGGTCAGCGAGAAGATCAGCAACGGCGGCCTTGAAGGAATCGGTTGCGCTCTGGAGACAACTAGGGGCGACCGGAATTGCGCAGCGGATCGAAGAAGATCACTCATTTCTCATCCACAGTCCCACTCGCTACGCGAGGACGGCTGAAGTTGCCGTGCAGACTGATTTTGCTGGGGATTCTGCCTCCGTCACGTACGCTACAGACGGTGAGGATCCGCAGGCGGTGCAAACTATGAACGAGGAGACGAAAGAAACCAGAATGGCCGCGTGGCGCGGCTCAACACAACCTGAAGCCGGTGCCGGCTTACCAGCTCTCGACATGATAGACCTTCATGCTATACTAGTTTCATCCCAAGTTATTTCCTCCGTCTTGCAGGTTGACGTCTTACTCAAGACAATGTGCGATGTTATCCTCCAAACCTGTGGCGGGTCCGCGACTCAGGCAGCGATTATTGTTCAGGACGAAGACGACACGGAAGATAATTGGTGCATCGCAGCTAGCGGTGATTCAGAGAAGGGCGCCACAGCTCATCTCCCCGGGCAGCCGCTGATCGGTACAGCGTTGGTTGCCGAGAACGTAGTTCTATACTGCGCCCGATTTCGTGAGGTTGTCTTCATCCCCGATCTCATTAGCGACGAGAGATTCGGGAAGGTCAATGACTCTTGGGTGCAAAGGAATTCGCTTAGCAAAGCCATAATTGCCATACCGATCTGCCATGGGGCAAAACCTCTCCTTGGGGTTCTCTACTTGGAGGGCGAACCAGGTTCCTTCACGGATAGAAATGTCACCGTTTTACAATTGCTCGTAAACCAGATCGGTATCAGTTATTCCAATGCCCTCTCAATAAAGGCGATAGAAAAAGTGTCCTCGGAGAATGAAGCGATGGTCCGAATACAGAAGCAAGCAGTTGCGAAAGCGAAACACGCGGAAGCGGAAGCTAAGCGTAATGTCAAGATCGCCGAGGAAGCAGCCAAAGCCAAGAGTATTTTCCTCGCCAACGTATCTCACGAACTGCGTACTCCGCTAAACGGCGTAATTGGTAATTCTGAACTCCTAAGGGATAGCAGCCTCAACAGAGAGCAGCTCGAAATGGCAGACTCCATTCGAGTATCGGCGGATCTGTTGCTTACGGTTATCAATGACATTCTCGACTTCTCTAAAATGGAAGCAGACAAAATGAAGCTTTACATTACCGCGTTCAACCCGGAAGAGATGGTGCGTGAGGTTGTGAGAGCTGCCTCGTATAGTAACCGAGAGAAGACGTCCAAGAAAAACGTTAAGATCATTCAAGATATCAATATACCGTCGATGCTGATTTACGGAGATCCCATCCGCCTACACCAAGTCCTCGGCAATCTCATTAGCAATAGTCTCAAGTTCACAGAAGATGGCTCTATCACGATTGGTGCTAAGGTCGAGTCTAATACCACCGAGAAGGCGAAGTTAACCTTCTGGGTTGAGGATACAGGTATTGGTATTCCGCAGGACCAGCTTAAGAAACTTTTTAGGCCGTTCAGCCAAGCGGATGCTAGTACTGCTCGCAAATACGGTGGTAGCGGGCTCGGTCTTAGTATCTGCAAGTCGCTTATTGAGAATATGATGAAAGGCGTAATTTCACTGGAGAGTAAAGAGAATGAAGGCACGAGAGCTTCGTTCACGGTGACATTCGATAAGGCGAAGCCTCATGTGTCCGCAGGAGAAGCCCGACCCCTCCCAGCATCTTCGATCGTCGATGCAAAGCGCAACGCCCCTCAACCAGCTCCTAGTCATCCTCCACTAAGCCCAGTTGTAGACTTGGCACGGATTCCCAAAGATCAAATCCGCATCTGCGTCGCAGAGGATAATCTTATCAACCAGAAGATTGCCATCAAGTTTGTGAATAAATTGGGATACACCAAGGTCGATGCTTATGAGAACGGACTCAAGGCGGTAGAAGGTTTGCGGCAAAAGGCGATGGATGGGGAGCCTTACCATGTCGTCTTGATGGATGTGCAAATGCCTGTACTCGACGGCTACGAAGCCACCGCGATTATTCGGAAGGACCCCATCGAGGAAGTCAGAAAAGTATTAGTCATCGCAATGACTGCTTCCGCAATCCAAGGTGACCGAGAGAGGTGCTTAGCGTCGGGCATGAATGACTACCTTGCCAAACCAGTTAAAGCAGATCTACTCAAGAGGAAGCTGGATACATATACCACAGGGACCATCCAACCACCAACTCCACCTGCTAGACACCATTCGGACCCCCTTGTCGGGCAATTTAGGGGTCAAGAGTCGTCGGATAGTAACTCGACGCCCGTTCCTAGCCCGCAAGTTGTTAACGACTTTATGATGGGCGGATCACCACCTCTCGTCTTGCCGATGAGGGAGAATATTGATTATTCATATTCTGCCGACGACGCATCGAATGAGAAGACGTCATCAGATCAATATTCGCCAACCGAAAGCGCAAATGTATCCCCCTTGCAGCAATCGGCAAAGCGCCAGCCGCGAAAGTTAACGAAGCCTCGGAATAATAGCGACGCTGGGTCCACTACCGACGAGAAGCCGAGGGCAGTGCTAATCAAGAAGAACCTAAAACCAAGCAATTCATCTATGCTAGATAGTGATACGAGCCATGAAAGTCGGTCGTGGAGCTGACGGTGTGGTTAAGGCTCGTCAGAGAGTCGGCTCTTCTACACACGGACTTACACAGTTAGACTATTTAAAATGTGGTCTAGATATTTCTTTTCCGATGTCTTTTTTTTTCTTGTTTACATGAAGGGTCCCGAGAGATCTATCTTCCATCATGTACGTTGGGTTGTCCTGATCCAAAGCAAATAGGGGACGTGTGATTTGGCACCGGGATTTGGATCATACATGGATTTTCTATTATCATTTAATTCTGATTTACAGTATGGAAATGGCATAGGAGACGAGTCCATTACGAGACTTGACATTGCTGGACGAGGGCTATGCTACGCTATGTCATGCCGTCATGTCATGGTCATGATAGAGAGATATGAGAATACGGTACATGATACACATGTGAGCTATGCATGTCGGCAAAGCTCTGGGATAGCGTATCAGTGAGTTTGATTTATGATTGAGCGACGCAATTAGATATGGACATAGCGCTTCACTTCTGGAAGAGATTAGTCTGGGACGACGGGACACCTCCGTCCGGATTAGATACCCGCTTAGCTTTCCGGGAATCCCCTAAATACACGAACACATACTACCTAACTTCTAAGAATAAAGATTTTTGGAATACACAAGTGCATACTCTTAAAATTCCATTACTGTTAGCCCGTAGTAGCAGCGGCATTTTCCTTGTCTCGTTCTAGACTCTGACATATTTACGAAGACGGTTCAACGGTTCTGCTCGCTAGGAGGGGCATACATAGTAGTTCCCCCCCTCCCCCTTTTTTTTCCGAGCCACGTGGGGCGCTCGCTTGTGAAAAGAATAACCCGAGTAAGCCGGCACTAGAGTCTAGAGCATATACTTGCGATGCAGTAGCTGAAACATAGGTAGCTAGTGTAGAGGTGACGGGCTCCATAACGAGGACCCGAGACGCCGGAGCGAGAAGACGGGCTTTTTTTTTTTTTTTTTTTTTTCGCGTAGATGTTTTCTAGTCGGACCGAGGCCCCACGGGAAAGGGCAAACTTTTTCCTTCTGGAAAAAAGCACGGAGAATTCTGGAATTGCCCAATGTTTTCCGGTGAAAGTTTGAAGGGTAGGTAGGTAAGGTAGAGATGTTTTGGCTTTGTCGCTATCGGGTTAGGCCCGGTGGGTTCTCGGGGCCCCGACGGTCTGGGACGGCTAATGAGCCGCGTTAGTTCGGTTGGGTTAGTGTGGTGTGGTGTGGTGTGGTGTAGTGTAGTTGATCGGTCTAGGTTAGGAAGAGGAGGAAAACGACCGCGGCCGAACGGGCTGGTTGGCTGGCAGGTTGGCTGGCAGGTACATACATGCATAGTAGATAGGGCGTATCGGGAAGGATCTCATCGCCGTTATTAGAGAGGTATGCGTTCGTTTCGCCGAGTCATGCGTAGCGAAGGGCTTGCCGCCATATGGGCATTACGTGGCAGCCTCGTCCTAATAATTTGCCCCCCCCCCCCCTTTTTTTTTCTCTATTTTTCATTTTCATTTTTTATGAAGCCGGTGGCTTGCTTGGGTAGGTATACCGTACCGGTGAAGGTGAAGGGGTCATGGAGGACGAATGGAGGAGGTCACACAAGCAGCTGTTATGTGTTCGCTCTTGTTTTTTGTCGGTCGTGTTTATTACAGTAGGTAGGTAGGTACCTAGGCACACATACATAGGAACTGCTAGATCAAGCAAACTACATACATATTTAAGTCTGCCTGATGTGGATGGATGGATGGGCTCGACGTGTGGGACTGGCGTACATACATACATACATACATAGGTAGGTGGCTTAAGCCCGCCCGTAAGCTAAGAGGGCTTGGTTAGAGAACTTTTGTAGACACAGATCGATACTTTGCTTAGGCAGATATGGGGAATCGTACGTCTTGTCGACTACCTACATACATAGGCCGTGATTATGTACTTGCGTAGTAGACGTGGACGTGGACAAGGACATGGGAGTAGGGTATACTCGGTTCTCTTGAGGCAGAAGCGAAGACAGATACTGGCATAGTGTATGTATGTATAGGATACGTTAGGTTAGGTAGCAATGTAGTTTTCCTTCCCTCGGCGCGGCTACATCCTAGCTACACATCAACGCCATCGCTCTACACTATGTAGATGACGCTTAGGAAAATGTGACAGAGATTTGCGGCTCGCCAAAAAAAAAAAAAAGCCGTCCCACGTGTCTCATCAACCCGGTTTTTCTTTTCTTTGCTTTTTTTCTTTCTTTCTTTTTATGTGTGGGAATCATCGAGGGTAGGTCTCTGGGGGGGGCTCAACGAAGGAAAGCGGGAGGCGCTGCTGCGTTCGCGCGTGTTGTACGTTTCAGCCGGGACCCGTGTAATGACGAAGGGGAGATTGGGGAAGAAGCAAAAGCAGGTAGGTAGGTTAGGTAGTTAGTTAATTACCTAGGTAGGTACTTGGGTATGGAATTTTTGGTTTTGCTTTTCTCGCAGGGCTGGGCTCTCTGTAGTCGCGCGCAGCTAGCAGCAACAGCAACAGCAGCAACAGCAGCATGTGGCAGTGGCGTGCGCCGCACGTTACGGCCAGCCGCCTTTGGACTCGTCCGGGCGAATAGGGACGGGCTTGGGGGAGATTAAGGCGAAGGGGGGGCTTGCCGCTCACCTACTTCCGCAACGGGGAGAGAGGCGTGATATGTGCGTTCTAGATGAGTTGGGTTGAGGTCGAGGTTTCGACCGTTGCGATGGAGGAGGGATGATCGTAGTTCGATGACAGGGGGCTACAAGATATTAGATCCCCGCTAGATCGGTGACGTTTTCTTCTTCTGTTTTTCTTTCTTTCTGAATGCATCAACCGATTGGGTGGCTGGCTAGCGCGATGTACGGATGACAGTGCTGTCATGTCATGGTCTAGGTTTGCACAGTAGGTAGGTTAGGTAGGGGATCGGCACGAGAGCCAGGAAAGAAGGAGAAGGATGTTGCCTGTACATATGTATTGTGTGTGCATTCTCTATCCCAACTGGGAATATCTCCGCGACCTCGGTCACGGCGGCAGCTAGCCTGCTTCATTACATAGTCCTATGGAAACAGAAAGAATCGTTGCCGGACCTGTTCTACTCGTGGATGAGAATTTTGCGACGGGAATGTTGTCCGGCAGTTTGGCCTGCTCGAAATATAATGGGTAGTCAAAATTCCGGTGATACTAGAGAAGGTCGTGTCTGTCGAACAGAGTTTCTGATGCTAAAGATAGGCAGTAATCTGCGAATGTAGGGACGAAGGTTGTCCTATTTTAGGAATTTCATGACATGTTCGGTGTTATCTATTACGACGGGAATATGAGATTCGTAGGGTTAATGCGTTAGATTCACTGTCGTAAACCCGGGTATTACCTTAACTAGTAGGAGCAAGATCTCTCTATAGAGTTTCTTACTGAGATATCAATATTCGTCTTTTGGGAAACCGGGCATCGTCTCCTATTCCCTATTCCGATCCTTGCCATGTCGTATACCGTCCTCACTCGTAATATGATGCATCGCTAAATGCAATATGCGCTTTTCAGCGGCCAGCCTACTTCGTATGTGCGTGGCTCTCCCGGAAGTCCGAACAAATTTCCAGACTACCTAGCGGCTTAGTATATTGCGAGGTTCTTCGATCCCGCGAGTGGACCCTGTCCAAGATTCCGGGTCCGAAGACGTCGTCGAGCTACTGTACGGGGTGCACATGTCTCTTGCCTGTAGTGTATACACACTACAGTAGGCAGTGAGATGTGCATATCCCTCGTAATGGAGTCGAACTACATAGGTAGCTAAGAAAAAGGGGTCACGGTAGAACCGGATACATGTTTACATACGAGTTTACCTACATAACTAACATGATATTTTTAAAGTTATTTTAGAGTTAGTCTGGCTGAATAGCTTTAGGGTATCGGCGGTTACGAGAAAACTAACATTGGTCTACCCGCTACTGTGCGGTTTTTTCCCTCACGTCTCCACCGGCTCCAATGTCATGTCCATTGTATCGTAATGGCGAGTCGTAGGGGCTCGAATGTCATTCGTAGGGAAATAATTGGCGACTGAAAGAGTATGACCCATAAGCTTATTAACCCCTGCTGTACGAGCTGCCGGTCAAGTTCTGTTTTGATCCTTTTAACTGCTCCAACGCTATTCGACTGTTAACTGGCTCCCTGCTTGGTCATATCCAACTGTTCGAGTAGCAGGAGCGGTCGTTGTTTGGATGACGAGAGGAAGATACAAACATGTAATGTAATGTAAACAATAAAAATGTGTCAAGTCGTCTTTGGATGTATATCGCATGGGGACCTGATTTCGAATCGAACGAGTGTTCCCGTATTGGTCTTGTACTTCGGAATAGTTAAATTTTGTTTCTCTGTAGTCTCTTATCTAACATACTAGACCTGGCCTGACCTCTAAACTATGAGGAGACTTATTAACTAGGTGATTAAAGATGAGTGTAGTAGTATTAGTATTAGGCCAAGCGTCTTGCTGGGGACCGAAGACCTCAATATCGTTCTCATGATTATACTGCGTATCTGAATGCATTTCGACAATGCATATATTAGAATGAGCATTTTGTCAGATAAAATAAGGGAACCTATGACAACCAAAAAACAGGAGAATTCAAAATTGAGGATATGAAGAGTGCCGTTTGTTATGCTAGTTGTCACGATCGGATGTAACAGAAGTAAAGGCCAAACACGATATTCTTGGCTTTGACCTAAGCGGCGTATTCTATATGGTAATATTCCTGTTCTCGTTGCCTCTCGCAGATTAATGAAGAATAATCGATGGAGTCGTTTCAAGCGTCGTCTCGTCCTGGCAACTTTAATCTCCAAATTTGGCGGACATGCGAGAGCCAGTGAGAGTTGAGAGTAAGAGTGACATGAAGATAAAGTTGTTGGTCGTGTGAGCACGGTACAGCATATACTGTGCTAACCTGACGCCCAAGGGCTCGTGCAACAAGTTAGAAATGTTAATGTTAAAAAAATGGTATTGCAGTAGTCTAATTTGGGTTAAGTTTATGTTAAATTCGCACTTGGTATGCATCATGACTTTTTCTTGCGCAGCACTAGGAACATCCGCCATTAGGCTACCGCATAAATGGTACCGTGGGAAGAAACAACGAGTTCTGGGCTTCTGGGCCTCTTTTGGAATAAGAATGTCGCCTAGCTTACCAGCTTGCCCGGTAAGGACAGGTGCCTCGATGCTAATTGGCCAACCGCTGTTTCTTCCTCCCCGTTTAGGAATCATGAGGCTTAGGTACCCCATA